ATGATGGCAATCCTTATTGAGCACACGGGTGGAAGATGGCCGTTTTGGCTAAACCCTAGGCAGGCCATCGTTATTCCAGTTGGGGGATCAAAATTTTTTGACTATGCGCAAAAGGTGCAACAATCATTGATAACAAGAACCGATCTCCTTACCATAAACCAAAGTGAATTTTTTAAAAAAGGTGAAAGTCGAAATAATAATAGCGCAAATCACTATTTTATTGATATAGATCTTTCGCCGAATTCTTTGAACAAAATGATTAAAACTGCGCAATTAGCACAATATAATTTCATTTTAGTCGTCGGAGAAAAGGAAAAAGATACTCGAACTGTTAATGTTCGCCAGCGCGACGGTGAAATTTTAGGCAACATGACAATCGATCAATTACTTTCGCATTTTGAAAAATTAGACCGGCAATATTTGTGAAAATTAAATTAGTTCATTTCAATGCACTCTATTTTTGGTAACGTGTAACTAAAATATCGGAATGCCAAAAACATTCCGAAATTTTCCGTGAAAAATGATCAACGCAATTATAGAAGTTTTAATTATTACAATATATTATTATTATTTTTTTTTTTTTTTTTTTTTAAGATGAACGGGCACTTAATGCCATGGTTTTTATAATTATTACAATATATTAATATTTTATTATTTACAGTTTGATTTAGAAAAACTTGATATATAATAATTATTTAATAATATTAAAAAAATTATTAAACAATACAATCAACTAAATAATATTGAATAATTATAAATATTTTATTTAAAAATAAACAAAATTGAATTAAAAACATTAAAATTAATATAAATAAAAATTTATAAAAAAATAACTTATTGAATATCTAAAATTAAAACTATTTAAATTTTCAATAAACTCTTTTCCATTCATAACAAATTTTCTTTTTTGAAAATATCCTTCAAGAAAATATAAAGTTACCTTTACTTAACAAAAACCTTCAAGTTTTATAGTTTCCATCTCTTAAAGTTCAAAACACTCACAGAATAACAAAGATATACTAAATATATACTCTAATATTTTTTTATTTTTGCTCAAATAGAAAAAATAAATGCTTGCTTATATTCAGAAGAGTACAAAACAGAAAAATTGATTTATAGTTAGACCTCAAAGAGCCAAGCCCACTGCCATTTCTATAGCCAGACTAGTATCAGATTAAATACTTTTCTCGACACAGCAGAAATCCTTAAGTAGTTAGATTTCATCCAATAAATTAGACAATTTTATCACCATTCTAAGGGCTAAAAGAATCTCAAAGCTCCTTATCATTTAAACAAAATAAAAATTTTCTTAACATATATACAACTGATAAATAAATCAAAACCAGCTTACCCTTTCCAAAATCTCAGTTATATGAATATATCTTCCAACTCAACAATCACAATATCTAAAAATAATATATACCAGATACAATAGCTGCTTCTAAAAATAGTACGTATTAATCAAAGCAACTTTACTCAAAGACCTATATTCAAATTTTATTAAAAACATCAATATATATCTCCTAATTATATATTATTAAACAAATTATTTCAAAATACTGAATAGAATACATATTTCCTAAACAATAAACACATAAATAAAAAATATGTGTCTTTAAAACACAATGTCAATATCAAATCAAAACATACCTTCAGATTATACTGTTTAATAAAAATATCTCTAAAGCCCAAATATAACATCAATCTACTATTTGATATAATTCTTATAGACAGAATGAAATATCACATGTCTATTATTTATTAAAACAAGAATAAAAAAATTATTCTAATAAAATTTTTTAGAATACAAACAATCTCTTTATTCGAAAACCATCCCAATAGATGGCTTATACCTATGTCCAATATTTTCAAGCCAGACTCTTCAAACCTATTGATATTCTAGATAGAATTCTCAGTCATAAATAATAATAAAAACCTTCTTGTATAGGTTTCAATTCTTAAAGAAAAATCTTTATATCTCTTGGATGAATTTTAAGACTTTTACAATTTGCTTCAAAAGTTTTTTTATTAAAAATAGACAGCTTAGAAATAAAGTCTTTCAAAAGGTGATAATAAAGGAATGGAACTACTCCAAATATATTTTCTGAAATATAATACAAGTTATTAAGGCCGGCATCAAAAAACAAAAAATCTTTTCTTTCACAAAAACATATCAATTCATTAATACAAGCCAAGTACCTTTCCATATACTAGCCAATATAAAGTTATTTTCATCTACAAACTCTTCTATTGATTCTCAAAGCTAGTTAACTAGTCCTTCAATTACTAATCAGAATCTATTATTAGTAATAATCACTAGCCAATCAAATCTTGATCAATCAAAAGATTTGCAGTTGGATCATCCAATCCAATAAAATCAACCATCCAATTATAAGAACCCCCTTATAAGAATCCTATAAAAATGATCTCTCAATTTCCATTAACTTAAACTTACCTATTTCAAAAAATATAGAAATAGGAAACACTGCAAGTTCCTATCTTTATCAAGAAAAAGAAAACACTTTCAATATTCAAGTATCAATCAACCCTATTACTTTACTTACTATTAATAATTTTTAATAATGTAACAATTCTATTATTTCAATGTTTCACTCTTCCTTACCTATTTATTTAAAATTACAAAAATCCTTTCAACAATCTGAATATAAAAATCCAGTAACCTATAGAAAAAAAAATCCAGTTTTCAGTAGCAGCCTTTAGAAAAAAATAAAAGATACTTCTAAAAGACTGTGACTATATAAGAATAACCTACTACTAAAATCCTCAGGGATAAAAGACTATGATATAATCATTAATTCAGATAAAGAAAATAATAAGTATAACTTATCAGAAGAGCTTATTAGTAAACATTACCATATTATTCAGTAAGTATCCAAGCTTATCATCATTAGAAACAATTCTATTGAACTTATTAATCTTCTACTAAATATCAACCAGTATCCAAAAAATGAAGTTAAACAAAAACCAAAATTAGCAATCTTTATTAAAATAAAAGCAAGGGATAGAGGTTTTCTTAGATTCAACAAGGAAATAGAATTAAAAAAAGATTATCAAAAAGAATATAAAAAACTTGAAGACTGGTTTCAAAAAATCTATAAAAGAAAATACAAAGTTGAAAAACTCAATAGAGAAGTCAGATCCAAGATTAAGTTTTTCTTAAATACCAGCCTATTCATTATTTATCTAAGATATATTAACATATTTGACCTTAGCTCCCATTTACTCATACAAATTATGAAATATGGATGTAACTACCTGTGCTATCCCAAAGAGAGCATCAAACTAGATTGCTATAAAATTCTTTGGAATTGTAAAAAAATTAGGGCTCCTAATGGTACCACTTTGATATCTATTCAATACCAGTTTGATACTTAAATTTACTATAAATTCATGAGTAGGTTACAACCCATATATTAAATTTACTATAGATTGGTACCATTTTGATTATACATGTGGTGTAAATTATTTTGCAGTTGACTTAATTGCCAAAATACTCAAAAATAATTGCGTCTGACTCAATTATTTTATATATTTTAATAGTGACTCAATTAATTGCGTCAAATAATTGTGTCAATTGCATCAAGGATCTATCAATTTCTATCACATGTATAATTTTGATACCACTTTGGTACCAGTTCAGTACTTTTCAGAGCCCTAAAAAAAATGTTTCGTAACAATTTACCAGAGTTATCTCCATTCCCAAAATTAATTTCTCCATAAGTAAAGGTCAAAATTCCCTTCAGAATCTCAATTCTTGACAGAAGCATAACAGCAAGCATAACAGGTTCTCTTCACTTCATATACAAATTTGATCTCTTATCAGATTCATACTTTGCCACTCTTCCTAATCTTCCCGATAATTCTCAAAACCTTTTCAAAGAAATATTATACTTGTTTTTAGTTAAAAGAAAAAAGGATCTCAAGAATCTGAATAATATTATTAGAAAACTTAAAAAGTTCTATTTTGTTTCTACCAAGATCTCTTCATTCTACTTTAATCTTCCCCTATCCAAAATTCCTCTTCCTTTATCTCCTAACCTTCTTGAGCCAAAATTTATTAAGTTTTTCCTACTAGATACTTCCAAACATAGCATTAAAGAGGTAATCAAGGAACTCTGGTTCAGATATTATTTTAAACACCTTCTCTTCAACTTCTTTAAGTTTAAAGAACTTCTTCCAACATTTCCATCAATGATCAACAGATATATTTCCAAATTAGAAATTCAAATTTCTACTACAAATTCACATAATATTCAATTTTTAATCAAGAACCTGAGATCTAAATATTAGTTTTTACTTCCTCTAGGAGTCCATTGGATAAATAAAGAGATTTCTCAAACTAACAAGCCAAAATTATTGCAGAAACTCAATAATATCGACCTAGACATAAATATCAAGTATCTTTTTTGCAGTGATACTCTTTTCAAAAAAAAAATCAAGATTCTATACAACCATTATGAATTCCAAAGAATTTCAGAAAACTGGTTTATCAATTTACAAATCCCACTGCCAGAAGATCTACTAGAAATAAATAGAGACCTAAGAGAAAGGTGCCTAATGTCTCTTAAATTTCCCTTGATAGATAATAATACCCTTCCTATACTCATCTTTTAATAATATCAAACTTTTTTCTTTCTCAAACTTTTTGAATCCCTTATCATAAAAGAGATACTCCTGAACCGAAGTTTGATCTCATGCCCTTTCTATATTAATTATTATATTTAATAATCAAATCACAACAAATAATTTAGATTTCAACTTGTTAAATATTATCTTTAATTCAAACAATTATACTCATTTAATTACAATAATTAATACCATCTCATCCATTAACTTCAACCCTTCATCACTTTACCATACCCAAATCACTATCACATCTTCAAACACTATTAATAATAAATCTACACAAAATGCAATCCAAGATTTAATAACCCTTACTATTATCAATACTAAAGGCCTAATAATCCTGCCAAGCTTAAAGCCTTAGCAAACCATATCTCAGATTATACTATTCTCTTTTGCATCAAGACCAAACTTAAACAAGAAGACAACTACCCTAGAAACATCAATGGGAGGTCCATAATCTATGGAAATTCTAACTTATTTGCAAAAAATAGTATAGCTCTTATCATAGAAAGAAGCCTTACTCTTCACATATATAAGATTATTAGTTACTCAAAATATTGCTCATCAATTCTATTCAAATTCAAAGAGAAAGTTAATATTCTCATCTCAGCAATCTATCTATCCCACAATAAGACAGAAAGAAAAGCTACAGTCAAGCAAGTAATCCAAATGATCAAGATAATTGCCAACAACAATTTTCATTATACAATCCTAAGAGACTTCAATACATATCTCAAGAACAACCCATCAATCAATACTCTAACCTCTTCTGTCAAACA